TTATATATATATGATATATATATATTATATATATACATATATACGAGTACTGTTGATTAATAAATTTTTCTTACGAAAATTGGCTTTCGATCTTCCACGATATAATATTGCACGCACACTTCTATATTCTATTTCTCACTCATATTCTATTAAGTATCATACGTACACGGTCGAGAGAATTAACGCTCCCGATTAACAAACCCAGTGTATCTTGTTAACAATTTTATCGGGGTACGTCCGCACGTGCACTTTGCCAAGTGCTGATGTGGGATTTAAAGACCTAACTAACAGAAATTTCGAAGGTAATGTATAGTCGCGATTATTTCCATCGTTTCTGTTATTTCTTTTCTTTCTTGCCATTCATTTTTTGTTACATTCCACTGAATATTTCAATAAATCTCGTATGAACTGACCTCTGCAATAACGTCACGTAGTCCCTCCATACGTTTATCGTTGACGCATAAAGAAAATGGCATGCTTTCATTTTTTATTTTTATCCATTGAACATCATTCTTCTCTCATAACCGATAACCGAGTATCTGTGCACATGGTAATTTATAAAACCTTTTATTTTCCGTTCTTATTATTTCACGCGTAAATTCGAAACGCGTCCGCTACGCGGATGCACGATAAATGGAAAAGAAAAAGAAAATTGGACGGAAAAGAGAGAAAGAAAAAAAAATGGAACGTGTTTAAACTACATTTCTTTCAGTTATGTTTTTGTTAATGCATCGATATCTGTGTGTGTGTGGTACTAGGTAGAAAATTTATGTAGGGAAGTTGCCTCTCTGCGCACAACATTGCAGTCCAAGCATCGTCAGTTTCAAGAGTTCATGAGCAATCACGAACGCGCTCAAAGATTCCATCAGTGGTGGGAGAAGGTAAGAGACTCCAGACAGAAAAATTCGACATAACATGCGGCACGTGTAGACCGTAGTCCGATGGCACGAACTACCGAAAGAAACGGCAAAAGAAAAGAAAAAAGTAATCGCATGCAAAATATAACCCAGCATCTTGTCCTAATTATTTCATATTTTTGTTAATTACCTTCTTACTCGTCTTTCTGGTGCTTCCCTCCCTCTATGGAAATATAAATTCAATGAAGTACTAATATAGAAACAGAGATTCACAGTTTTTCAGTTTAGAAAGAAAAATGTACCATTTCAGACGGACGACGGTGCTGGTAGTGACGGCAGTTTGCCAGAATCTTGGTCGAGTTTGAATGATGATAAATGCGTTGACGCAGTGAGAGAGCTTGTTAATCACCATGTAAGTGAATCTATAACTGTGCCTGTTCCTTAGCCTAATTATAATTTTAAAGCGCCAGCTAATTCTAGAAATTAGAACAAGGCGTAAGTCTTCTTGAGATCTTAAAATCGTGTTTCCTTAAGCTTTTTACAAAATTATACAAATTCGATAAAAATGCGAATTTCCTGTGATTAATAGTTTCTTGATTGCTACAATTAACAAGCTATCCTAGAAGAATCGAGAATTAAGACTAAACTGTAAAACATCTACCTTTCAGAAAAAGGAACTTGCTGTTCTGGAAACTGAGCTGCAAAACAAAGTGAAGTCTCTTAATGAACACCAATGCAAAGTAGATAAAATGGAGGAAGAGTTGATAGAGATAGCTAAGAAACAAAAACATATGCTTAATCTGGAAGTAAGTATTTTGATTAATACTAATTAACTTGTTTCATTGCTATGGAATATTGAATATTTCGGACTTCAGTTGGAGGGAGAAGGAAACACAGAGAAGAAACTGTTACTCGCAAAACGAAGTCAGGAACAGTTACAGGAAATCTTAAAAAGAAAGCAGAGCCTGTCGTTGAATCTGAAACGTGCATTGCCCGCTTCCCCTGGTGATCGTTCCTTGGGCGGTGATGATGTTCTTTTAAACGGTGGGACTCGGTCGTTTCAGGATGGGTGCAATAGGAAATTTCAGATAGCTTCTGCTTTGAGTCTACTGCCACATACTATTCCAAGTTCCATAGATACAGCGGATACTTTTCATACAGCTGCGGCTGATTCGCCCGAACCTCGAATACCTTTCGAAGATTCAGAAGTAAAAGATTCTCAGGCACCACCGAATAATAAGCAAACGGAAACGGACAAGCAGCAGAAAGATTCTCCGGAGGTTCATCTAGAAAGTGATAGGGCTAAAATGTGTGAGGCAGAAGGCAAAAGTTTATTAAATTTGAATAGAAAGTCTTCGATAGATACAATCATTAAGTCAGAGAAATGTAATGGTAGCACTAACGGTGAGAAAACAGAATTGAAATCTTCGTCAAATTCTATTACGGAGGAGGATATTCCTGAAGATTCGCTAGAGTCGCCGGTGCAACAAAATCCAGGAATGAAACGATTGAACCAAAGAATCGCTCGTCAACGAATGATGGTGATGAGGTGCCTGGAGGCTAACACGCCCTCCAAAGAAGATCTGAATAAACAAATTGCAATTTTACAAGATCTCCAAAAGCAGCAAATAGAATTAGAAGTGTCATTGTTGGAGGATGAACGAAATAATCTCAAGCAACAATCTAAGTCACAGTGTGGTGAAGAGAGATTGGTAGTCGGTGACGCAAACGATCGTACACAAAATGTAGAAACAATAACATGTCGTGATATGGAATCCACAACTAACTCGGCTACCCTGTTGACCGTAGCCACAACGCGATCTCCAATTCTCAGGAATCACAGGCCTAATACTATTGGTGAGGAGAATTTGTCGGAATCGGTTGCTCCTCGAATTTCATCAGGAAGAGGATATTCAACAGTATATTTAACGGTAATTTTTCGTAAACAACTTTAGAATTGGAAACTAATTAAAATTCTAAAAGTTTAAAATTATCCACTATATTATCCACTGTATCTTTATCTAGAGTCAAAATCGAGGTGATCGCTTAAGTAGTCCATATTCCCTGACAATTACGAGATCTCTGCCGTCTTTAATAGCAAATGACGCCGACTACGACAGTGTGATTAACATGATCGTTAGTATACCTTCCTACGTGATACGTGGAGCTGGCACGTCCAGTCATTATGAATATGAGGTACGTGTTGTGGCACAGGATGATAGCTGGACACTTTTGCGTAGATACAGAAGATTTCGAGAGTTGTATATTTCTATGCGTCAAAAGTATGGTAGCAAAGTAAGTAAAACTTTTTAATGCTTTATTTCTTCAACTGAGATATTTTAAATCTAAACGACTATAATCTCTTTTATTATCCAAAAATTGTTTCACGAGGTAACCCTAATCATCTATAGTATTTCTAAATAATTCTACTATAATAGCGACAGCAATAACAACAATAATAATGATTTCATTATAACCACTTATTGTCATGTTTTGTGGCAATAATATCATTTGGTGTTCGGAAATGGTTTCATAACAACAACTACAATTACATATGATTACATCAAGCGATTATAGTACCTATTATAAATGATTTCAATATTCAAACACTTTACTTTACATCAAAGTGATTATGATTTTTCATAATTGTAGTGATCATTAAAAATATTAGAAATATGGAAAGAAGAAACTTTTTTATGTTAGTTTATAATTTCTTCAGCGGTTTTATACCCTTTGATTATATAGGTAGCAGCAATACGCTTTCCACCTCGTCAAGTTTTTCCAAGGTATGAAGTTGTGGCGCGGCAACGTAGAAAACGACTAGAAGAGTATTTACGGCGGTTGATTCAAGTCTGTTCGGAATTGCCACACTGTGAACCTCTCTACAAGTACAACGGCAACTTAAGCAACATAGATAAACAATCGCTGCTGGAATTTAGTTCGTTCTTCAGGCGTGGAACATTCGAAAGCAGTAAATACGGGACAAGTTAAACATCAAAAGAATAAAAGTATATACGACGAGTGTAGAAGAATGAACAAATTCAGGTGATCGCATAGAAGATATTTATAATTCGTTATGTATTTTTTATATCGATGAACTGGAGAAAAGCTAAAGTGGGAAAAATATTAGCAAAGTATAGTTACCACTTTTTGCGATAATTATTATATATTTACCAAAATACATTTCCAAAAGTTTATTGTTTATAAGACTGTATTTAATATTTGTTTTGTTCTTAGCATTAGTAACAGAAAAAAAAGAGTATTGTGAAATTTATATTTAAGAGGAAACAAAGATCTGATATATCCCGAAGACATTCTCGATATCCGATTCCAGTGAAAATCATACATTAAATTATCAATGGAATTATATAATTTGATTTGTTACGGGTTGCAAATATTTTCCTAATGTTTTTCTCCCGTTAGAATTTTACAATTTTCCAAGTGTAGTACCTTTCTTGCTTCTTGATTTTGAATGAATTGTTGATTTTATTGAATCTAAACTCGAGTCTATCGCTAGTAAATATGTAGCTAGACCAGTATTGTTACAAGATACGCACTATATGAACATAATTTGTTGTGCGCACAACCATGGTGACCATAATAAATCGGGCGTTTATGCTCGTGATAATAATTAGATTTCATAAGTGATCGCGTTTATTTTTTTGTCGAATAGCGTCTTTTACACATCATTGTACTGAAGATTGACTGGATATTAAAAGAAGAAAAAATAACGAACTTCCTCCTAGTATGTAGTTATAAACTTATAGAATTATCATAACTTTACGAAGTGCAAATGATATCATATCGCTGTTGAAGTTCTTCCGGTTCCGGGGATTTATATATAATATATATTGTATATGTATACACTATGTTTTGCGGCAAAGTTTGTAAAGACGAAAAGGAACAGCGATGTTAAAGTTGACTTGGAATCGTTATGCGATGCTTATGGCAATGAGAGAATTGTTAGTAAAAGCTAACTCTGATATTATCGATTATTCTCGGCAAAATGTATATCCGCTCTATTTATGAAACTGCTTCTTGATAAAAAGAAAAAGAAAAAGAAAAAAAAAGCATATACGCTTCTAAAGCCCAAGGATTTTCTATTATGGTAATGAAATCGCGCCTTTCCATTACACGGCCAGATCATTTTGCCTTGAATTCTCTGAGTAATAAGAATGTTATTAACGAAGCTTATACTTAAATACTTGTTGTTTAGTATCGAATGGAACCTATAGCAATACGTATTGTCATTGAAATGGATAATCAAGTTTGTGATTAATGACGAATTCCATGGCTGTGTATAAACAGACTTCAAACCCCGAGGAATTATCCTGGACGGCTAATGGTACTAGTAATTTGTAGCCGCGAAGTCTGTTCGTTTAGCAAATTCTTTAGACAAACATTATACCTCATCTTTCATACAATTTCCGAGAAAAAAAGAAAGAAAAAAAATGACCATCAACCGCTTTTTTTATACTTGATCTATGCGATCTATGTTCTCTAAATGTAAAGATACATAATAAATTGTCATAGCTCGATTAATTTAATTATTTTTGTTCAATATTCTTGCACCCTATGAAGTGGAGAAAATTACAAATTGTAATGAACGGTTAAAACTTGTTAAGGACTTCAAATGTTACTTCACATTTAAAGCGTAATGGATATCAGATAAATACAATTATTATTTATTGTTTTTGTTATTCGTCTTACAAATGTATATTTGTATCTTGAGCATTTTTTGTGAAATACTAGATTTCTATCCAATTTAATTGTTCGATAACAAATATTTGTCATTAAAAAATACTGGACCATCCAGTTCTTATAACGCACATTTTCATCTTGATTTGTACCATGTCACGAGATGATTAATATATCCGTGATATAAGTTTGTAAATGACACATTACGAACGACGAATTTAAACGAAATATAAAAGCTAGATGATCATATATAAATAAGCACTATTCTTTTGTAATAAATTATGAATGTTATGCTTATCATACCTACAGTTAAATGAACACTTGCCCGCTCGCTAAACTATCCGCAAACGGCGCAACGATTACCCTGGTGGCGAAATAGAATGTTAAACCAAACGTAATAGAGATCGGTAAAGCAGGCAATGCTTTCTTGAATATAGCCAGCAATAATAGTGTTAAGCAAAGTCCCTGAAAAAAAAAAAGGTTCATAATATAGCCCTTATTATTTGATCATATATTGCAAACCATGATATACGTACGATAAGAATGGCAACGGAGCAAGCCAATGTCGTGTTCCAATCACCATAACTTGAAGCTTTTCCAACTAAAACACTATAAAATATAAAATCACCGAGACCTAACTTTACTCCTCGCTGCTCTTCAGTAACTGCAATTTGTTGTCCTTGTGATTCACGTGCTACGCGATTATCTTGTTGCCTTGATCTTTCTGTTAGCGACAAGGTGTTTTCGCGTACTTCTTGTGCCCGCCTCACTCCTCTATCACCTAATAATTACGCTTTACATTAAATTACAATAATTAAATATACAATACATCAGATTTATTTCCTACCATGTGTGTCTATCCATTCAGGTGTAAACCCGCCTTCTTCTGTATCTCCAGATGCCGGATTATTTTGATTATCTGTTTGATTACGCACAGGATATGTCGTATTATCACCCGTAGCAGTATCGCTAGTAGTCATTGTTGTTTGTACATAGCCAGCATAAGTCATCATAACAGTGTACATGATTGTAGAAGAATAAATCAATGCAGGAAAAATAGATTCATTCCGCTCTTGGGCAGTCTCTACAAGTATCCTTAGGGGCCCCTTTGGTGTTAACACAGCAATCAAATCTTTATGGAAAAGGTAATAAGAAAGTTTGTTTCATCTGCAATGTATTTATATTTGCTTAGTAACAAATTTATTTTACCCCAAATACTGATGACACCTAGTACAACCCATGCTGTCCATTCTGGCAGATATTTAATAAAAACAAGTGCCATTAGAGCAGAGATAAAAATAAGATATGCTTGTTGTAATTGTAGAGGACCTTGCCAATGTATACATATCATTCCAACCACTCCAAAATTCCATGAAACTAAGCCTAATGTGAACAGGTCCATTGGAATGTTGTATGCTTTTAATATTTGCCTGAAAAAAATATTTTTTTTAGATAATAAAGATATAAAGAGTCACTGATAAAATTATGATACTCACTCGCAATATAGTATAGAAAACATAGACAACAACAGTAAGGAACTTATTATCAACCATGCATTGATTACTTTGTAAAATTTGTATTTGTATAGGATAATAAGTAACACAGTCATAATTACAATGACAACCATAAGTATCAAAGAGTTGGCAACTGCTTGCCAAACTTTGGTACTTGTGTCAGAACTCTCTTCATGAAATGGAGTATAAATACTGAAAGGAATCATATGTTTGTAAAACATATACTATGCTATAAGAATAAAATGAAAATCTTTAAAGTACTTACAAATAAAGTCCTTTGGCTGTGTAGAAATTTATAGAACTAATTGTGGCAACTACAACTAACATACAAAGAGATACAGGCACAAATAATTTAATAACATGTACTGCTCCATACTTCAATTCTTCTTCTTCTTCTTCTCTATAATTTCTTGATCTGTTTTGCTCACTATTACTTGATGTACCTCTCCTACCTGAACTTGCATTGTTTAATGTACCTGGTGTTTGAATATGGACCTCAGGAATACCATCTTCAACCTATAATTTGTACATCTTATGAAGTAAAAAATTTGTCAAACTTCTTTAAATTCTATTTGAATTTAACATATTGTAATCCACAGATTGATATTGTAAAAGTACCTCTTCATTACTAATACGTGAACGCCTCTTTCGACCAGTGACCAAGCCCAGGTCGTCCGTGCGAGATTCCGCGACGTGACCGTCCATTAGGCTTGTATATTCGTCTACCGAATCGTAAGTATCACTCTCAGACATTCATTAACGCTTATGATTATTAACAAATTAACATAAAAATCTTCTAATTCCACGCACAATTTTTTTGTACTTCCGCGCTTTGTTTAGTCTGGACACACAATAGTGTATGGCCACATTCGAAAAACCGCGATATAAAAATACTTTATTAATTTCTATGCATCGAGGATTATTAAAGGGATTTTATTATTGATGAGCACAACGTAAGATACTTTCAATTACTTTAAAATGAATGCTTTTAACGAACTCTATCTTTACAAATAAACTCTACACCTGATGGCAGCCATTTTACTAAACGATTCACTGATCTGACCTCTATCATTAAGCATGTAGAACTAAATGGAGCGAAATTGTCCAATTTTTGAAATTTCAACTTTCAACTAATGAAAAATTAAATTATTCCTAAAACTTTTTTATGCGCAATTACATGAAGATCGTTGAAATTGATTGTGTAATAAAATGTACATTCCATCACATTAATGTGTACAATTAGTACAACGGCAGAGAAATTTTTGGGTAACAAATATCTGACACAGAGGAATCATGTAATATTTGAATCCTAAATATCATTACCAGAAAAAAAATTATCTAACGTGTTCATACGAATATAAATATGTAATATTATTTTTTTTCTGCTTGATTACTACCGGTTTCAGTTCCATTGAAAAACACACATTAAAGTAATATTAATAGAATTGTATGATTTGACTATTTGTTACAAGTTACAAGTATCTTTCTATAGTTTTTCTCCTGTTGGAATATTACAATTTTTCAAGTGTAGTACTTTTTGTGCTTTTGGATTTTAAATGAACTATTGACTTATTGAACCTAAACTCGACTCTATCGTTAGTAAATATGTAGTCAGACCAGTATTGTTCTAAAAAAAAAAAAAGTATGTATGATTCTAAAACCTAAGGATTTTTTATTATGGTAATAAAGAAATCGCGTCTTTCCATTAAACATCCGTATCATTTTGCCTCAAATTTTCTGAATAATAAGAATGTTATTAACGAAGCTTATACTTAAATCCTTGTTATTTAGTATCGAATGAAACCTATAGCAATACGTATTGTCATTTAAGCGAATAATAAATTTTGTGATTAATGACGAATTAATGGTGATGTGAAAACAGATTTCAAAACCCAGGGAATTTTCCTAGAGGGCTAGTAGTACTAGTAATTTGTAGCCGCAGAGTCTGTACGTTTAGCAAATTGTTTAGGCAAACATTATACTTCGTGTTTCATGTTTCAGTGTCCGACTGAAACAGTGGTCATCAACCGCATTTTTTTTTACTTGATCCATAAGACCTATGTTCTCTAAATGTAACGACATATAAGAATTGTCATAGTTCGATAAATTTAATTACTTTTTATCAATATTCTTACATCCTATGAAATGGAGAAAATATACAAATTGTAATGAATGATTAAACTTTGTCAAGAACTTCAAATGTTACTTCACACCTAAAGCATAATGGATATCAGATAAATACAATTATTATTTATCATTTTTGTTATTCATCTTAAATATATATATTTGTATTTTGAGCATTTTTTGTGAAATACTAGATATCTATCCAATGTAATTATTCGATAACGAATATCTGCCATTAAAAAATACTGGATCATCCAGTTTTTATAACGCACATTTTCATCTTAATTTGTACCATGTCACGAGATGATTAATATATCCGTAATATGTTTGTAAACGACACATTACCAACGACAAATTCAAAGGATATATAAAAGCTAGATGATCAATATATAATTAAGCACTATTTTTTTGTAATAAATTATAAATGCTTATCATACCTACAGTTAAATGAACACTTGCCCGCTTGCTAAATTATCCGAAAACGGCGCAACGATTACTCTGGTGACGAAATAAAACATTACACCAAACGTAATAGAGATCGGTAAAGCGGGCAATGCTTTATTGAATACAGCCAGTAACAATAATGTCAAGCAAAGGCCCTGAAAGCAAGGCTTCATAATAAAACTCTTATTATTTGATCATATATTATAAATCATGACATACGTACGATAAGAATCGCAACGGAGCAAGCCAATGTCGTATTCCAATCACCATCACTTGAAGCTTTTCCAACTAAAATGCTATAAAATATAAAATCACCGAGACCTAACTTTACTCCTTCTTGCACTTCAGTAAATGCAACTTGTCCTCGTGATTCATATCCTACACGATTATCTTGTCGACTTGATTTTTCTGTTAGCGACAAGGGGTGTTCGCGCATCTTTTTGGTCCGCATGGCTCCTCGATCGCCTAAAAATAAAGTGTAACATTAAATGTACACGCTGAACTACGCAATAATTAAATATACAATACATCAAATTTATTTCTTACTGTATGTATCTATCCATTCAGGCATAAATCCAGCTTCTTTTGTATCTCCAGATATAGAATTATTTTGATTATCAGCGTGCTTACGCATACGATATGTCATATTTTCACTAGTAGCAGTATCGCTGGTAGTCGTTGTTTGTACATGGCCAGCATAAGTCATCATGGCTGTGTACATGATTGAGGAAGAATAAATCATTGCAGGAAAAATAAATTCATTCCGCTCTTGAGCAGTTTCAACAAGTATTCTTAGGGGTCCCTTTGATGTTAACACAGCAATCAGATCTTTATCATAAAGGTGATAAAAATTTGTTTTATTTGCAATGAATTTGTTTTTGATTAGTAACAAATCTATTTTACCCCAAATACTGATGACACCTAGTAGAACCCATGATGTCCATTCTGGCAGATACTTAATAAGATTAAGTGCCATTAGAGCAGAGATAAAAATAAGATATGCTTGTTGTAATTGTAGAGGACCTTGCCAATGTATACATATCATTCCAACCACTCCAAAATTCCATGAAACTAAGCCTAATGTGAACAGGTCCATTGGTATGTTGTATGCTTTTAATATTCGTCTGTAAAAAATATTTTTCTTAGATAATATACATGTAAAATATCATTGATAAAATAATCATACTCACTCGCAATATACTATAGAAACCACAGATAGCAACATTAAGGAACTTATTATCAACCATGCATTGATTACTTTGTAAAATTTGTATTTGTATAGGATAATAAGTAACACAGTCATAATTACAATGACAACCATAAGTATCAAAGAGTTGACAATTGCTTGCCAAACTTTGGTACTTGTGTCAGAATTCTCTTCATGAAATGGAGTGTAAATTCTAAAAGAAATCATATGTTCATAAAACATGTACTATACCATAAGAATAAAATAAAAATGTTTAAAGTACTTACACATAATGTCCTTTGGTTGTGTAAGAATTTATAGAACTAATTGTGGCAATTACAACTAACATACAAAGAGATACAGGCACAAGTAATTTAATACCATTTGCTGCTTCATACTTTAATTCTTCTTCTACTTCATTTGTATAATTTCTTGATCTGTTTTGCTCACTATTACTTGATGTACCTTCTCTATCTGTACTTGAATTATTTAATGTATCTGGTGCCAGAATATGGACCTCAAGAATATCATCTTCTCCCTATAATTTAAACATATTATCAAGTAAAAATATTTGTCAAACTTCTTTAAATTCTATTTGAATTTAACATATTGTAGTACAAAGAATTATTGTAAAAGTACCTCTTCGTTACAAATACATGAATATCTCTTTCGACCCGTGACCAAACCCAAGTTATCCGTGCGAGATTCTGCAACGTGACTGTCCATTAAGCTTGTATATTTGTCTATCGAATCGTAAGTAATCCGCTCAGACATTTATCAACGCTTATGATTATGAACAAATTAACATATAAATCCTCTAATTCTACGCACAACTTTTTTGTACTTCCGCGCTTTGTTTAGTCTGGGCAGACAATAGTATATGACACATTCGAAAAACCGCGATATAAAAATAGTCTATCAATTTCCATGCATTCAGGATTATTACTGGAACTTATTAAATATTACTGAAAAGCACAACGTAAGATACTTTCATTTACTTTAAAGTAAATGCTTTGGAAGAACTTGACAAATAAACAATACATTTGATGGCAGCCATTTTACTATATAATTCACTGATCTGCCCTCTATCGTTAAGTATGTTGAGCTAAAAGGCGCGTAATTGTCAAATTCTTTAAATTTAAACTTTCAGACAATTAAAAATAAAATTATTCGTAGAATTTTTTTATGCGGAATTATGTGAAGATCACTGAAATTGATCATCATAATTTTATTGTGCAATAAAATGTACATTCCATCGCAGAAATGTGTACAATTAGTACGATGTCAGAGAAATTTTTGGGTAACAAATATCTGATACAGAGGAATCATGTATTAAGTAAATCCTGAATATCATTACTAGAAAAGAAAATTATCTAACGTGTTCATATGAATGCAAATATGTAATATCATTTTTTTCTACTTGATTACTATCTGTTCTATATAGCTATAAGTTCTATAAATATTCTTATAGAAATCGAATTTCGTAGTACAGATTGTACATCAGTAATTTTATTAAAAATTTCAGAAATTCTATTCATTATTTTAGGAGCCATAAATGGCGCTACAAAATACTGATTACCATAAATTTTAACGATGTTCTCATCAGACTAATGATTTGAAATAATTACAATTCTTTTACTGCTTAATTCACATGAACAAGAAAATATCTACTCAATTCTATTTTTGGCAAAAAGGTTGAATTAGTAGATAACATACAGTATTCCTCTCAATTGTATAAAACAATTATTGTATGTATATATATTAACTTTGTTTTACATCAATATAGAAGTAGAGAATCTCAAACTCGTACCTTTTGTACATGTCCTCTGTTTTAGATCCTTGAAAAACAAAGTGACACTCTTGTACAAGTAAAGAGATACAATGAAATTTATATAATGTAGATTATTTTGCGTGAACAATTAATATTTTTAGGTGTTTTTAATAGCTTTTATGCATTTAGACGATTTGATCATGTCAATTTGTAAAAAGAAAGTGACAAACAAATCATAAAGAATCAAATAATTTTAGTAATATAAATTCAAGCTTCAATGTTACTAACAAAACAGCCTTCACAATGTTAATTCTTATGGAAATGTTTCAATAATTTTTTGAACATTTCTCACAATTTATGATCTTAAATGATTAAATTTAATTCTGAAAATGTTACAAGCGTAATTATCCAGTAAGAAAAATAGTACAGTGCTGTGCTAATAATGTTAACAGCAACTTGTATATTTATAACATAAATAATAGCGAGTAATTGTTATAATGATACTAATAAAGATAATTAATTAAGTACAATATTTAAATACAATTTTTAAAAGCATTCTTACGCAAGACTGTAATAAGTTCACTTTTCTCTTTCCTATATGTATATATGTATATACGCACATATGTAGACCATTATTTTTCTTTTTTGTTCAATAACATAGCGATACAATGTTTTGCAGAGAATAATTTTCATTTTATGACTTCAACGTCATTTATGTACTTAACAATTTATGTACAATACATATACACACGGCTTTTCTTCTCAATCTACTTCGTTATAAATTAGTGAAAAAATAATGCTGCTTTGGCCATGGTCTGCGTATCGGTAATTATTATTTACCTACAACTTCGTTGCTAAATACCTACACACTCGAATGCGGTTCTTCTGATAATCCCCAAAATGGTCAAAAAACTCGAAATGTATATTTATTACAATCTCAACACGAATACCATATTCAATATTCACAATATAATATAACTTCTTTCATAAATTTCATTCATATATAGACAGCAAAAATGGTATTAATACTTTGATTATTATCACTGTATTCAAGTTAAATTCTTTCTGAAGCAAATAAATTCACTCTTATTCGGTACGCTTTTAAAGTATTTCGTTTACTTTCAAAATTCTTTTCGATTTCATCTTCTTTTCCCTTTTCTTTCTTTTTTTTTTGTGTGTGTGTGTGTCTTTTCAATTTTATTATTATTTAGAAATAACACGTTTTAACGTAGTATTTAAAATACTTCTATTTTACGTATCGTAAAGCACCAAGTACGTGTACCTATGGTATGACAACAAAAACTGTTCCCTATTTGATTTCTTGTTCTACACAATGTACACTAGCTAGAACAATTCTTTCATGTATTTAATGTGTTTCAAGAAGAGTGTCGGTTGTAAAATTCGATTACACAGAACGTATATGGAATGCTTTAATCATTCATGGAGCTATTGAAAATTTAATTTAGATAGACAATGAACAATATGTAGAAAAAATTATTTGTATGGAATGTAACGCATGAACAGTTTCTTTTTTTAAAGATTGCATTAAATTATTATCACTCTGCAATTCAAACAAATTAATCCAAAATCGGACCAATATCAGACAGAAATATAACTTATTGCAGTACCTAAGAGACATGATGTTGATTTGTAAAACTTTGCTGTTAAAAAATAACATTTGATTCTTATTCAATACTCATATAGACACATTCTGTGATTATATGGTAATCATGTTTGTTGTTTATCACCTTACTACATTACAAGAAATAAAAGTTATTTACTTTTATGAAGGCATATGCATATATATCTATGTTTTATATATAAAACATATACATATACATATAATATCGAAGAACTCGTTATCTTTGATATAAATTAAGATAGAAGCTTTATCGATATTTAAGCTTACCTATTCAAGTACAAGGGTAAACTGATGTTATGAAAGTACTGTACAGTGAAAATAGCTGTCATATGATACTAATTAGTGTATATAACAAATATCTAATTGCTATTGCATTATCTATGATCCATTAAATTTTTTTATATATTTACGTTACAATAAATTAATATTCACGTTGCAACAAATAAACAACGATCTGTACATTTAATATAAAAATTAAACCTAAGGACGGAAAACAGAAAACGCTAAGACTAATTGGATGTTCAACGCCCACTGTTAAGAATTCTTTCTGTTTCTTTTTAAAGATGTTAAGTCATCTGAATTTACTGCATTCTTTATGCATTTACTATCTTTTAATCAATGCATTTTAAAGAATTCTTTTAAATTACAGTATCTAGGATATGCCCAAACAACCATTTGTGCAAAAAATGTTTTTTTCTTTATGGTACTGGTACAAAACTCCTTATTTATATCTTGGACTGTCGGGAGGCGTGGGTTGAGTGTTTGCTCTCTGTTTCGGTCCAGTTTTGAACGACATCTTTTTCACAGGTCGGGGAGATATTCCATGAAGTACTGTACTGTCTGGAGTATCATTACTAAACCATACTCTGCTTCCATCAGAGACTGAAAGCAAAATTCGTAAAACTTATTTTGTTTGGAGTTGTATATTTTTAATTAGCAACAATATGGGATTAGTTACAATATTGTCATCAATGGCAATTTGTCATTTGCAGACATATTAATAGTAAAAATCAACATGCAAATTGCTAAAGAAAAAATAATATATAATTAAAATATTTATGCTATGTATGCATATAAGACAAAAATTGTAAAAAAAATTCTAGTTCAATTTTCTTTACACATAAAAAATTATATAAAATAAAATAAGCAAGCTAACAAAATTACAGTATTAGATAATTTGCGTTATTCTTTATGCAAAACAAACTGAAACAAAATAGTTTATATTTAATTATCCAGTTCTTACGAAAATATAACTGCCCATATTTATAAAAAGACACGTTTATATACAATTATATGAGTTTCAGAAAGCTACTTGCAATAGATAATGCCATATATATGTATAATCTTATAAGACTGTTTTAAGTTCTGGATGCTTTTCTACTTTTATAAATTAGTTTTCAGAATTACAAAATGACAAATTTGAGAAAGAATCCATTACTTATAATAGGATTTTAAGAAAATGCATATATATATACAGTATTGTACACTATCTCAATCTATAAAGCAATATTAATAGAATGATACATGTAATACGACATGAATGTAAAAAAATGTCTTGATCTATGTCTAATATGCATGTAAAAAGGAAATTTTACCTCTGAATAGATTGTGTAAGACTGTTAAACAAAAATATAATTAAGAGACATGTGAATATTAAATAAAGAAAAGTTGGAATATATTTATCTTCAGCCTTGTTAAAAAAATGTATATGTATATACACACACGCACACACCCACGTACGTACATACATACCCTATCCCCCCACGCAAAATATACATATATATAATCTGCATATATTTAATAAATTATAAATAAAATGTGTAATATCACTTTAAACTGTAAAAGTGTAATATTGCTGTTACTCTTTACGTAAGTAAAAATAGATTGGATAAAACTTAAAAATGGTGTATAAGTTTGCATAATTATTAAAATATTATAACATACAAAATTACTATTGGGTAATCTATTAGAAAAGAGAAATAAATAGGATACACTTTATAGAGACGATAAAACATTCGAAAAACAGCAAAGAAAAAAAATAAATAAATTATAATACTACCTTGTTGGGTGGTGTTACAAGGTGGGTGGGGGTTAGTGGACTGAATTAGTCACCTCTATTCGCGCGGTTATCACTGCTAGCTGCCGAAGAACTTCGCAGACCCGATCGGCCCTGATGTGAATCTATAAGCGCTGCTGCGAGGTTTGACGATGCTGTGGATTGCACGCTTGTTGTAGATCCTGACAGTGTGATATTGATGATAATAATAATAAATACAACAGCAGTAACAGCAACAACAGTAATAATAATAATAATAATAATGACTTTAAATTCATGCAGAACTATTTAACATGTTTCTCTTTTTAACTATAAGTTTTTCATAGCTTCTATAGAAAATAGACAAAAAATCTATTTCATAAATTCTATAAAAATAAATATTACATACACTATGTATTACAATTATTTTTAGATCGAAGAATTTCTATAGATATATGCAGAAAATAAAAAAATTAATATTTTTTTATTAACATGTACAAACTAACCAGATACGGAAGAAGTTCCACTAAATGGACTTGGTGGTTGCACCGGCGAGTATACATTAGCTGTAAATTCTTCGAACGTGGTAGCTTCTTTATGATTCCGCATAACAGTATCAATAGATCTTGCTCTCTCTTCATAACTGAAATATTTTGCATTAATTAGGAAATGTAAGTATTTAATAAAAAGAAGGTTATGGAAAATGGCACACTTACTAATGTTGATATAACGTAAGTGTAGATCGTTTTGCCCTACTTGCCGTCAGTGCTGTTGTTCTCACTAATCCAGGTAAAACTTTATCTTCAACAATACACTCATCAAACAGAGGTCCAAAAAATGGAATTTCTGGCTTTCGAGAAATTTGAATTCTGTACAATTTATTGTGTAACGGATAAATTACTATTAAAACATCACAAAATTCAGTTGGTATAATATCTCGACGATAATCTCTCCAATGCTCGGACCAAACTATGTGAATCTCATCGTTACCAAGATGTCGTGTCTAGAATAATATTTATTTATATATCTCATTCCAATATATTTTTTAATTTTTTATAAATTGACATAACTAATACTTACTTTCTGTAATAAACTTTCAGGACTATCAGAAGGCATTCTTGTTGCCACATGAAAAAGGATTTCCGTAAAAGATGTTGCGAAATATGGTGCTGTAACACCAGACGCCTTTCCAGGTATAAGACCTCCAAGAAAACCTGTATGCGATTCAAGTTCAACCTCCCAAGCTAATCTGGCGATAAAACTTTCATATTCTTTACTAGCTGTGACATTACTCAATATAGAGTTTTTGTCTTCTTGTCCTTGACTGACATAGATTACTGCTATTTTATGAGTTTCTCTAGATCGTTGGCTATCGAGATTTCGTAATTCTCGTAAAAGCTTTTCATTTTTGGATAATAAATGCAATTTTCTACGTTGTTCCCAACCGGATAAACCTAAGTGCGAAAACAAAAGACGGCAGTGATGAAATGGTGCTGGAGGTGGACGACATGATGGTGGACTTATTGCTGATGCACACATGCTGAAAAAACATAGCCATATAAATACGTTTAACGTTACACTATTTAGTGCTCAATATAATATACCTAATGTGCTGACTCCAATTATTGATATGCTCTTGTTCAGCGTTTCTCTGGTTGAGAATCGTGGCAATGGTTTCACTTTCAAGATAGTGACCCTGTGGTGGATTAGCAGGCGCATTAAGTGCTATTTCTGGATTAGTTAATACTTCCGGACTTGTATGTCCTATATATTGTAAGAGCTAATAACAAAAATACGAAGTTAAAAAAAATATTACTAATAAATATTAATGTTTATGATAATAAAAGTAAAACGTTACATCATCTAAATTGTCCATGTCGCTAGCGGCATTTGCAAACGTGGGCAGTATATGAGGCTCACGATGTCTTATTGTATGTCGTGGTGTACAGGTTTGAGATGTTGTAACACTGTTTAAATCTTCTCCGTGTACTTTTGCTTTCCACTCAACTAAAGATGTTAGTTAATATTATAACAAAATACTGAATATCAAAGAAATTTAAATTAATAAAAATTTGCATTACCATGTTTTGTAAATGCTATCGGTACATCGTCTTCAACAAACGGTTGGCTGTATAAAATAGAGCTATCCCAAGATGCTTTTCCTGCTAAATCTCGTAATAACACTCTAACTAATGATGGTGCTGTTGTTAATCCAGCAGTGACACCTCCTCCAGGTGCATCTAGTGCTGCCAGTTCAACAAATGACATTATTACGGAATTTGATAACATCAAGAGTTGTATATTTGGTGCATGGAAAATTGCAGAAGATAATTCATCCCCATCAATTCCTGGTACATCGTCTAATTCGACAACTAATGAAGATAATCGAGCAGCCCCAATACCCATTGGAAAATGTCCCAAATGATTTATTAAATGCATCATTACCTAAAAAAAAAATTAAATTTGAATTTATGTTTATAAGAAAAATATATTAACTATATCCTACCATCTTTGCTGCTAACTGAACAGATTGAATATTGCTTCGGCGGGGAGATTTTGTACAAACTTCGTCGGCTAAGTTATCCAAAGTAATATCAGGATCAAAATCATCATCTTCATCTTCATGACTTTTATTTGTTTGTAATATATCTTTATCAATTTTATCTTGTACTATGTTATCCAAAACCTGTAGTATTTTTTATATTTTTTAAGATATGATTATGTATCTTAAATTTATAAAAAAATTCTAATTTTAAATGTTAACTTCTTAAATTCTAATTTATATATTTGCACTTATATACATGTTTTTATTATATTACTAACTGTAAATAAAGTCATTAAAAGGGGTTTTCCTTGAAATACACGTAATAGAACGGATGGCCCAAGATGCATAGCCCATTCACCCAAACAAAATAACATTGATATTGTCAAAGGACCACGTCTTTCTCGAGTACTCATATATCCAAGTGTTTCTGATAAAATCTAAAATACATGGATAAAATAATTGTATATTTGTCAATCAAATTTCAAGATAATTCTTTTATGTAAAACTTACTTGAATTATTTTACATGGCACATTTGGATACAGCTCTAACAAAGTGTCCGCTTTATCACATAATAATAGAAGAGAGTCACATGCCACTTGAGCAACAGTAGCATGGCTAGCCTACAGAGTAAAAAATGAAAATCATTAATTAAAACATTATATATATATCTATTTCTAATCTTTTCCATCCTAATTAGTATTATGCAAGGAACAATTAATCACTAACATATATAATAAAGTGGTGCTCATTCTTTAATGTTAGAATCCTCTTTTCTCAAATTGATTCAATCCATTAAAAAACTTAATTACCTTTAAGATTCTAGGTTTTTTATGGAATGAAACATTCAGAAAAGATGGAAATAAAAAATTTGATTATCTATATTTATGAACCACTATAATATGTAAATATAATAAAATTAAAAAACACTAAAATATCATAGGACGTTTTACACACACAATCGTGCAATACACCATGCAATGTTGATGACACCCTTAAACAGACATGTAGACATCAGTTGACAGGTAAATACTGTAACAACACATAATGAGGAATCGGCACAAGTTAGTTGATCTAAAAAAAACTACCTGGTCCATTAGTGGATAACAGAAACCAGCTCTGCGACGCTCTGTCCCTTGCATCCGCTGTCAATCAGACTCAGTGGAAGAAACACTGAATTTCTCACTACTATTATTACATATCTACTACTTTGAACAATACATTACATAGTGTTCACTACTTAACTAAACATTATAACCCAAATAAAAAAATATTAAACAGTTATAAGATAGTTACGAATATTTCATAACATGCAAACTATCTTACACATCAGAGAAAATTGACACAAAATTGGTCCTTCTCCTAATACCATCTACCCACAATGAATTCGATAGACTTACTTTAAGTGCTAAAAGAAGAACTGTCACAGCTTCTGGGATTCTTGGATGTTGATTTTTGTAACATAACTCTCTGTATACAAACATAGCAATGCTTGAGAGAGCTACACATCTTGCAATACCGGTTGGTTCTCGCCTACAACTTCTTAAAAGGATTGTGATTATATGCTCCTAAAATAAAATAGTTAACATCAAGATATTTTCAGTAAGTTATAAACAATACACTATAACGATTATCTGTTACACTTTGATACCTTTGCATCTGGACATGTCATAGTCGCGATATCTGATGCATTGGGCTGAAATACAGGTAATTTAACTGTCGTGGCTGGTAATGACAGTAAAGATCCAATTATTGAAACAGCTTCAGTCCTTGGTGCCTATCAAAATATTATTCATGAGAATACAATTTATAATTTAATAACAACGTTATTAAATTATAGAGAACAAAATTTTTATAATACCTCGATATCTTGACTGCTTAGTATTACATTAGCAGCGTGAATATAATCCAAGATTAAAAGACTAGATCCAGGAAGATTCAAACTGAACAACCTAGGACCAGTATACCTGACCAATACGTGTAACACTTTACTATCGTTACTAACGATACCATTGTGGACCGCACGGTAAAAAAGAGTTAAGTGTTGTTTTGGTAAATTAATGTCTTGTGGTTGAATTGTCAAAAGACAGATCAAACGATATGCTGCCAATTTACCAACTTCGTATTGACTAGGAAGTTGTATTGCCTAAAAGTATAATTATACAATATTTTAATAATATCCTTTAATAATAATACTAAATAATACGAAAATAATAAATTAATATTCACCTTGAAACACCATGGGGCAATAACTGTCAATGGAGGTATAAGTTCTGGAGCTGGTGGAGTTGCTTGATTGTCTCCAGAAACACCTTGATTCAAACGAATCTAAATAATATGAAAATGATGATAGTATAAAACACATGAAAATCTTATTATAAATATAAAAAAATATAAGTCATCATACTTTTATAAGTGTTTGTGTAAGTTGGACAAGGTAATCCATGACTTGGCCATGAAGGGTAGGATCTTGAATATTATTTACATCCCCCAATGCTGATAACATACGACGCCATAATACGACTGCAACATCAGGTAACCATCCGCGAACACCACCACCTGCCATAACAGATCTTCTCTCTGATGCATCGTTTGTGTCTACAAATTAATAATGCATTATAAATGTATTATAAATATAATTAAAATCAATATAAGAAGAAAATAAAAGCTACTTATAAAATCAAAGTACTTTTAGGGAACTTTTTCATTAATTGAAACTGAATTCAAAACTTATTAAGAAATGAATACAAACGCATTGCAAACGTTATGAAGTATGCAATTTGCAAATATGTATTTCATAACTATATTAAACTCTGTGCTATAAATAGAAAATATTTCTTATATAAATAGTTTCGTTAATTCGTGAAAAGATAAGCAAAGCATATTGAATGGAACAATGAATTATTATCATTATCAAGGTAATAAAATATTCCACTGTTAGTTTTACGTTTGTGATTTTTTGTACGAAAGATAAAAAAACAAATATTAAAAATATTTAAAAAATTGTAAAAATCTTCACACGTTGTTATACAATGAAAAATGATTTTTTATTTTGAGGCAGATGTTAAATTTTAAATAGCGGCAAACGATATACTTACCGATACTACTACCATCAATGTTTTCTATTTGTATTGGGCTGTCCTTGTTGCTGTCGACTCCACTGCTTGGTGTCGGAGAAGGACAACGCGGAGATGGTGGTTCACTATCGACTATAACAATGCTATCCAAAGATTTAGCTCGCCTGTTCGGTAACATTTTTCGACCAGCTGCCGACGTTGAAATAGCACCATTTGATAATAGCCGTGCCATATCTTGCTCTATCGATAGAGGGAGTACTGCGCGTGTGGAAAATTGTTTACACTTAATACACAAATAAGCCACAACCATTGAAAGAAATGTTTATATCGAATAAATTTGAAGAGTTTTATCATCAAAAATTAGGAGAAAGCACGAATGAAGAGGATATCGCTAATGAGAAATATAATATGCGACTAATAACAGATGTAAGACGAGGGACAAATATCTGGTCAATGCCAGACTAGTTATTTTTAAACTAGTATCAGCGGTAAAGCGAAAAGTAAGAGACAGAGTTATAAATAACATGCACGCATTATCAGCAACGCAGATGATATTACTAAATGACATAGACTGTTAAAATATAATACAAAAAAGGTAAACTTAAAATTTGATGTTTGATAGGCCACTTACCAGGGATACCACTGTGTACGGTATGTGTACGGTTCCTATGAAGTTTTGTCCGTGCTTTTCCATTGTATATCGTATTATCGCTTGCACTACGAGGAAGAGGTCGTACTTTCCTTAAGTCTCGCATTGGGTGATCTAATTCACAATAAATATTTTATTTAACAGAAAATTATGAATTAAAAGTATAAAATAGATAACTATTTTAATATAGCTTACCCGAAACATTTTCTTTAGATACGGTATTATTATCTTGATCAACACTTCCTTTGCGCGGTGGTTGAACACTTCCGGTGGAAGCAGCTCGACTTCCAACACCACGACGCTTTTTAGTTTTTTGCTCACTTAGTCTATCTAAGGGTAAATCATTTAAATCCAAGTTGTATACGTGTCTAGCAAGTACCCTTGTTAAGGTATCCAATGTTTTCTATAAAATAATACGAAAATATTGAGAAATATTAATATTAAATTCCTCGTATTATTTTGCATGAATTTTAACTCAACTGACAGCCCATTCTCGAATTAATTCTTCCCATTGCGTTAAAGATGTCAGTACTTCTAGAAACTGATCCCATAATTGCGTAGAAATAACAACATTTAAATTGGCTTTAATCCATGTAACAATTAAAGTCTGAAATATGGCAGGGGCAAGTTTACCACCAATGCTCTCTTGAATCTTGCGCCGAGAAGATTTTTCGTTTAAAACAAGTGATGTTATTTGTAGCAATACCCTAGAAAATATATAAAAAAAATTATTATAAATTTACGAAATAATTTGATTGGAAAAATATGATTTCTAAATCATATGTACCTAAGTAACTGTTCCCAGGTACCTGGTTCTAATCGAGAATTCATTACAACATATCGATATACGTTTAGAACTCTTTTACAACTATCAGTTTGCTCTTCAAGTAATGTCAGCGACGCATTCGGTCCAGAATTTTCTAAGAAAAAGACATTAGAAGCTTGTGTGATGAACACTTGTAGAACGTTTTGTAGTCCCGCCCTTATAAATAAATTTTCTCTGTGTATAGCACCAAGGTAAGAATCATTCCTTAATCTTGTTTGGCGATAGCTTTCAGAAGGACTTTTATCGATATCATTGATATCTTTTTTCAAATTCTCTTCTAAATCTCTTTCCTTGTGACTATCCAATGGTTCTAACATGAATGGTGGTAGTTCCTAACAAGAAATGCAAAAGCAAGTGAATATTTTTGATCATATTACTCTAATGTTAAAAAATTATAAATAACAATTGTACATTCATCTGAATCCAATCTTTATAAACAGCTATAGCTTTTCTTATAGCACCAGCATGATTAAAGTCTAGCAAAAATGCTTGTCTATACAATTCATGTACAAAATTCACGTTATCTCTGTTTCCATATAGAACTTCTCTAACAAGAGTAACTGCTGAAACAGTACTGTCTTCTTGATTTTGATTCTCTTGCTGAGGTGTAGTTGATTCAGGAGAAAGTAAAGTCGAGTCAGCGGCATTTTGAGTGACTGAAACACGACGAAGTTCTGACTCTGTATTTTCTTCATTTGGAGTTGTGCTAAAACAGAAAATTTTATATCATAAATCACATAAAACTAATATATACTATTAAGATATTAAAATATTAAAATACCTATGTGAAAGATGTGCGACACGAGCATCTTTTCTAGCAATATGGGTAAAACTAGCAATCCACTTAATCAAAGCAACTTTACATAATACATAATTATCCTGACTCTGATTCGTTGGTTTACGCATCGTAGGCAATTCTAAATTCGGTTTATATAACGAAAAATTATCGTCAAATTCAGGACAAATATGACGAAGGTACGTAGCTTTAAAACGTTCTAATAAAAATTGAAAAGTCTTGTGCTGTCGAGAAGATTTATCTCTCCATTCTATCTTTACAACCTGCAAATAAATTAAATGAAAATTTGTTTACTGCTTTTTTAAGACTATATAATTCTATTGTCTCAAAATATGTAGATATACCTGAGTAACCATAAATTCAAGTAATGCTTCTAAAAATCGAACAGTCTCATTATCAAGAGGTTTCTCCCCACTTTGTGGAGGTAAAATAGGTCCACTGTCAACCGGTGTGACAGGATATTGATTTGAACCATTGTCATGAAAAGTACTTTGTGACAATTGTGTATCATAAAATTCCTTCTTATCTTTATCTTCACAACCAATAACTTTTGTAAGTTTATCCTTTTTTCCATCTATTTTATGTTCAGACTTATAAGGAGATGGTTGCTGGGGTGGAAACCCAGGTATCAAGTTTGCAAACATTTGATGGATATGATCAGGAGCATTTTCGCCAAGTGCTTGGTACCACAAAATAAAATACCTAAAATCAATTTAAAATACATTATATACATACACAAAACATTTTATGTAATGACATCATTAAATATATATTTGTACCGTATAGCTTCTCTTCGTAGTTTCCAACTATTACCAGGATGTAAAAGTTTTTGCAAAATTCTTGCTAAACTATGACATTGCCATCTTCTATTAAGAAGTTCGGGGAGAAGTGTTAAAACTTTTTCTAAGAGTTGCAACACCTGTTCCAGTTCCTCCCTATGTGCTTTATGCACTATAAAAACAAATATTTGTTAAATATTTATATATTTTTTAGTCATGTAACACTTATTTAATATGTTATGAATGAATAAAAAATAAAGAAAAAAGCACCAGTTTTAAGAACTTTTGGGTACATACTAATCATAATGATATTATACTTGTACAATCAGGTGTAATGATCAGATTAATGGAACTCAGACTGCAACATGCAAGGAAGTTATACTCTGTCATCTGTCTGTTACTCACCAATGTGGAAGGAAAGTTCTGGCAGCAAAATAGAAAGAAAACAAGCAAATAGTAAAATAATGATAATATTAACATTTTGCAAATATTATACATAATTATAATGTTAATATATTTAATGTAGTCATAGTTCCATAAATAAAACTGTATATGTAGTTTCATTGACAAAAATTGCAGTCTCATCTATATCTTTATGCAAGGCAGTTATAATGTATATTGTTAAAATATGAAATATACATATATGACTGCAAATATTTTTACCTCGTTGCCGTAGATTTGTCTCAGCTGACACAAAACAATCATATAGAATAAAATAGACATGACTGAAGTTGCCTTCAAAAAACCCCTTTGCTTCATCAGTGTCCACATTTTCTATAAAATAATATCACAATTGTTTAATTTATTTAAAGAAAACATTACTCAATATAATTAAAAGATAAATATACCATTTGTATAAACATTCTATCTACAATATTAACTATAAAATTCATAAGAATATTCTTTAACTTATCTTCAGTAACATCAATATTACAAAAGTTTTTAATTAATAAATATTTATTATATTATCAAAAACTACAACTACTTTTCTTTCATAAAAGGTTTGGTTTATAGGGAGAGCTGTAGAACCCCTATTACATCATCACTAGTCTTGTACACTTGTACTTATATAGTAGAACTTCTTTTTTCCTTCTATGTTCTCATATGATCACTGTAAATATCATTCTTATACATATGTATATAACTATAAAATAACAAGAAAATATAGTTTTATCCACTTTGTTTTATGAAAAAATATCATACACAATTTATATAAGAATAATAAAGAATTTTTATAATTTCTTTAAACTGAAATAAATATTTATTTTTAACACAGTACAGTTACAAAATCATACATAAGAAATTTAAATATTACAAGAAACAAAATAATATTTTACATGATGTCTAATTCTTTTTCTAATAATCATTTATATATCCTCAATAACACTCTAGTTCATAAACAAGCTACAAGATTTTTTATTGATTGATGATGATTATACATTTATGTATATAGTATTATCTATGTATAATAATAATGTAACATTAGCTGAAATTGGAGGCCACTGTAGGTTGGTTACTGTGGTCATGCGGTTTGGTGATTAGATACTACTACTTAACACTATACCATCACATTATAATTGCACACAAACTAATTATTCTCTTTTTAAGAGCCCATATAATGACATTCAATGATAATAATTTATTGATATTTTTTTTTAAACTCAATAACGTATCATTTTATATCTTTCCAAAATTAATAGTAAAAATCAATATTCATTTACATTTTAGAACTATACATTTAATTTTTCCATTATTGTGTATAAAACTTTAAAGAACGAAATATAGACAAATGTTTTTCGGAAAATGTTGAAATGTTATCATTGGTAGCAAAAGTGGAACGTACATTAAAAGAATAACGAAAAATCATCTGGTTGTATTTTCAACGAAAAATTCCAGAAGTTCTACGACAGCATTAAAACAGTCTCGGTGTGATGTGTAGGCGGCAAATACTAACAAAATTGCCGCCCCTCTCCTTTAACTATCGTCGTATTCATTAACTGGTACTGTGAAACTGCTTGTTCGTGATTAATTTTCACGACAAATTAATGTTAGCTGATTCGTGAAGCTACCAGAATTAAGGGGAAAAAACGTGAACTCACCTAGTACGATTTTAAGATGCTTGAACCGAGTCGCGCTATCCTTTTTAACATCCTGAATCTTCAGTGTTGACTTTTTGACATCTACATGAAGTTTTTTGCTGAACATGGTTCAATGCGAGCCGCCGGCGGCCGCGACGACAAAAACTATCATCGAGGGTGCACAAAGTGGTGCTCATGGATACAGACCGACTAACTTCGCACTGTCACCATGTCAGGAACTCGAAAAAGACAGCCCCTTTTATCACAGTTCGGCGTCAAATTTCGCGAGCGCACACACCTCCGATCAGATGTACGTGGCAGCCATCTTGACATCCTCGGCGCGCACTGCTCATAACCTGTCGGGGCAATGACATCATCGCTTGCAAAGTTAATTTATTTTTCCTTTTCTCTTAATTTTCGGCCCACGCGAAGATGTACTCGTACAATCGATTATATCTCCTCATAGTAACTTATTATCGTTCTTTCATGGAACAAGCCTCTTACTAATTAAATTTTCTGAGGATGCACGTTTACTTGCAGAATGTCGAAACAAAATTTTTTTAAAACCTGGCGCTCTTGATCTGTTTTATCATCATATGATAAGAGCATTTGTTGCTGCTATAGAGTTTTATTTTTTAATATATTAACAAATTATTGCTAAAACATTTAATATAATATTATATAAAATATAAATTTCATCTTTAAAATCTCTTAAATTATTATCCAATTATTATCGACTTAGTTACAAATGAAATACTAAATGTCACTAGATATCCCATTCACATGTTTGCATTTAAGCTAGTAACATATTATAATCGGAAGTGACATCTTCGTACGTGAAGAAAATTGGCGGTATATTTAAACAGAATAATGAAAAGTGATAAAGTTTGTATAGAACTGGCATTCGATAAAAGTATAAGTCACAGTCAACGAATTAAAGTAAAAAGTTTTTGGAAATTTATGGAAGAAACAAAGCCTCTTGAACCCTGCAGAGTAATATCAGGTATAATTATGTTGTACCTGTTTTGCAAACTAATTTGTAAAATAGAAATGACAGTAAGGACATTAAATATATAATAAATTAAATATTTTAAGGAATACTAGTTACATTAAAACATTTCGATATTTAATATATATATATAACTAACTGTAGTAAAAAATGTGCAATTAAATGAAAATTTACAGAAAAAAAATTGAGAACAAGAAAAGATCAGGAACCTCCAAAATGTAAAAGAAAATGGTACAATCAGTTAAAGGTCTTTCAAAAGCATGGACTAGATAAAGTGGCACTTGCAACTGGTGAAAAATGCAAACTTTGTAATGAGCATTCTAATTATATGTAAGCAATCTAGTTATGTAAACGACTAATTTGATTAATGTCAAAAATGATCATTATATCAATTTTCAATAGGAGTTCAAATGTTTGTGAAACGATAGAAGAGTCATACAACGAGTTATAAAATGACATGAAAACTTTCGACGAAAGATCACATGATAATACAAATATGAATTAACTACAGAAGAAATCTTCTATATCATGTATCGATCATACATATTAATTTTTCATTTATAACCTAGAAACAAATCTTTGTTCGCCACCAATTTAATCATATACATAAACGACTCTTTTCTTTAATTATCACTTTTAATATAAATATCCTAATAAAAGAAAAATTAAGCTGATGATACATTTTTTCACTTCTAATTCTAATGTTTTAAATCGATTATCATAAACAGCATATAAATACACAAATTGCAGGAATTTCTTAATTGAAAATATTAATAATGCATTCGATATGTGGTAAACTGTTTATTCTGACTGTTCGATAGAATTGGAAATTGGAACAAGATTGAATATATATATAAGCAAGATATTACACACGGTCCGAGGTTCCGAGCAGTATCGAATTTCTGTGGTGCAGGAGGTCGACGTTGTTCGGTTCGAGTAAGGTGCTTTGCCACGGGAGCCATGAATGGACTCGAGGATGCTGAATCCTTGCACAACATCTGGCCCTCTGAGTCTCTCGCGTTACCTTCTTATTGTCAGTTCATCGTGCATCCAAAAACCCGAACCGGATGACCGCGCACTGTCAGGCTGATAAATATAAGCAAAAGAAATACGTAATGTGCACATTATAATCTACATATATTTCTTCGAACATTTGTAACAAGCAAAAATGTGAGGTTAGAAAAATAGAAAAAATTTATCTTCCAAAATATCACGAAAAATACTAATTTGACCTAAATACATAAATTATAGTAAGAACGTAATAATGAATTAATACTGTAGCAGCTAAAAATAATATAGTATTATAATCAAAAGGTGTAAAAAAATATCGAAGTAATGTTCGCGCGGTAATTTAAAAAAATAACACATTCACAATGCGGATAGCAATATTATTTTTATCAGCAAACTTATTTTAATTATGTTTAAATAAGGTTTCACAGTATATACCGTTACAGTCGGAAACGGACGGAAATTATAACCAAATTTATCAAGGGAATCTCGTTGAGGCATTTTCATTTACACATTGTTATTCAAGCTGTATCGTAATGTTAATCAAAATACAATTGTAGTTAATTTATATTCGTACGATTCGATTTATTCAGTGTCATGTTTTTACATAAAATAGCATCGTTCGACCCAGTCTCATCAGTCTAATAAACATACAGTAACATCGTAACTTACTCGATTGGGCACACCGATCTCTCGATTTTATCTCACTAATAATAAGTTAGTCAGTATAGTCAGTTAATTTCGTGGTAAAATAATATCCCTCTCCAATAAACGGTAACCACGGGTGATTATTCACCCTCCTGTTGTTTCTCATTTTATCGATCTTTTTTCCTTGCTTACTCCTATATTTCGTTACAATTAACCGATTTGTTACTGCAAAATCCTTACGTTTCAAATTTTTATACAAGTTAAGAATCTTGACGTAAGTATGTATATAATATACTCTTTTACGATAACATAGTAAGTTAATAACTATAATTAAAGTAATTTGACTTGCAGGTAAGGAACGTTGGAAATGCAAAGCTTAAAAACTATTCTTATATCTTAATATCGGCCAAGGAGATATTAAAAAATGGATCATGAAGGATAATGAAGTTAAGAAACTGATTTTAGGAGATTTTCAAGGAAAACTGTAAGTGAAAAATCTATAGAAATCGTTTACAATAATAAAAGATTAAGAGCTCTTTAAACGTTCTAGAGTTACAAACAGCGTATTTTCGTGCAAGATTTTCAAGCAGACAAAGTAACTTCACGGCAACCTTCAATTTTACGCCTCGTAGTCCTTCGCGCTCGTCGTGTTCCAAAAACAGAAGCAAAGCGACAAAAACCAGAAGCAGACGTAAAAATTAATTTCCCCGATACTTATTCAAACTTCTCGCTCCTATACTCGTTTCAACACACAAAGACGGTACCAGGCTAGGGTCGCACGGCGGTTAAATAAGCATCTGAACCAATGATATACATAAGACTATCAGTTGAACAATTAAAGAAAAACAAACGGCAAAAGAAAAACGAAAAGGAAAATATATCAAACTAAATAAGAAGGTGATCGAATAGCAAAGGACAACGAGATACTGATAGAATAGAACCAAAAAGTGGAGGCTATCAACGAGCTGCACGTCGCCTCTATCAGGACATCGATGTGCGTTATTTTCATCGAGAGCACACAGAGGAGACAATGAGGGTAAAAATAGAGAAGAACACGGTAGAACTCGCGCTCTGGAGACAAAAGAGAGTGGCACCGTGTGGAACCCAACCTCTCTACGAACAGAGACATGGAGGGGGCCCCGTTGACGGAGATTCGACGAAGCAGAGATGTTTAATCGGTGTTGGCCCGCATCAGGTTGATCGAGGACCCCCCAGTCTGGCTGTTCGATGATGACGACGACGACGACAACGACGGCGATGACGACGACGACGAGGACGACGACGATGATGACGACGAGGACGTGGGTCTTCGATCACGGGGTGAAGGGAACAGCTAGGCGGAATGAGGAGGGAGGATAGGGGGGCGTAAGCGGAACCAGGGTGGGTAACAGGGGAGAGAGAGGCTGCGCCGTGCCGATGAAGCGAACAATGGAGGCGGGATGCTCATTTGTCTGCGGGCATTGTTGTTCACCCGGCCGGAAACACGAGCTCCGTGCTCTCCTTTCTCTCTCCCTCTCCCGCCAGCCCCCTACTCCCTCTCTTCGTCACTCCCCCTTTCGAACCATTTCGTTCTAGCTCACCCCCTCCCCCCTTAACGATAGACAGATTTTCCGATCGTTGGCGGACGGTACGATGCTACCAATAGTACCTAGGATTTTGATGTCGACCGATGCGGGTATTATCAAAGGTTTTGCTGGAACTGTTTTTGGTTGATTGATGGAGGATTGAAGGGATGTGAGGATAGTTTGGACATTACAAAGGGGAGTAAGTTGATTGGTTTCTGAAAGCAAAATATGTAGGTTTGGATTTGTTGCACCATGAAATTTTGGATTTTAAATGATGTGACAATTGGAGTGATACGAAGCAGTAGAAAAATGCCATTTTTTGAAATTGTCTGCCAATGAACAGTATATATCTCTAAATTCTACAACGTTTCTAAATAATTTATTGCATGGAAACATTTTTCTGAATGAAAAAATATGAAAAAAGATTAGCACTTCCTTGTAAAATTTTCTGTTAACATATCTACCTACAAGAAAGTAGTCCACTCCAATTAACAAATAGAAAATGTTGAAAGAAATAATTCCAAAAACATAAAAATCTTTCTATCTGCCTTGCTAAATTTCCTCGCATCACAGATTGTTCTATACCATCTCTACACATCTACGTCTATATCAACTTTCTATATCATCAAATACTTATGATCTATTGACATCTTTCAGAAAATCAAGTGTGCCACGTCGAAGAAATCTGAAAAACCAGCGGCGCGATCGAGGGGTCGACGAGGGAGTTTGTGTTCGAGAGGAGCGCTTGTAGTTTACATCGGCTGCCCACCGATGCGGAGACGGTAGCCATTTTGAAGGTAGAGGGGCCCAGTTTCGTGGCTTCTTCTATATATATATATATATACACACATATATATATACATATATATATACACACACGCGCGCACACACACATATATCATACATACATATATATATGCATACACATATATATGTGTGTGTGTGCGTGTGTGTATATATATAACCGGTGGGCAAGGAACGTACAGTGGAACGATCCGAAAAGAGGAGACGAACGGTGAACGCGAAACGAGGCTAACGCAGGGTGGCTTCTGGCTCATTGGGCAGACGTACAAATTCGTCGCGACGTATCCGTGGATTACGTGAGG